GTAGCCTAACGTCGAACGGGCGGTGATTTTCCACATAACAGGAGTGCGTAACGTTGAAGGCACCGAAATTGCGAGGAAAAGATCCTCGGTAATGTCCTGCCGGTTGTACGTAGCTTGCCAAGGCGTGCCAGAGATATTGGCGGGTATGCAAGCTATTATATCGAACTCCCGGTATCCCGTCTCTCCTCCACGGTATTGTGCGAAAAATACATCTTCTCTGTCGCGAACGCATTCGGTTGGCCACTCAGCGTCTGTCATGTTCCGGTATTCAATTGTGGTATTGAGGCGCGGTGCGTACTGAGGGTCAACATAGACACCGGTGCTGAAGTCCAAGGGAACGGGTGAGAACCAGGCATCTAAGCTCATCTCATCAAGTTGATAAAGACTCCTCGAGAAGCGGTTACAATTGGTGGCCACACTGAATGTATCGTAACACATGTCATTATCCAGTCCATCCTTCTGTTCATCGATCCAGAGGTAAGGCTCATGTTCTCTTTCCGCGCGCGATTCTAGAATGCTACGGAGTCGAACAACTGCTGTGTTTATGTCATTGTCGGTGCTGCTGATTAGAGCAGGTATATCAGCGACCCTAATCAGACCGGACTGTGTGCTGCGAGTTGGTATTCGTGTCGGAGTAACCTGGATAAACGTTGTCTGCAGAATCGGGAAGACAGCACCTGTATTCGAGTCAACACCGGCTTCCTGCCAAGATCTGGGCATGACTCACCCACTAAGGTCAATGCAAAGGCGAAGTACAATGGAAGACTTCCAACTTTAGACCACCTAGCCCACATTCTTGGGCTGATCCAGCCTTGATCTGCAAGCGCCATAGTCTGACGCAGATTCAACTTCGTTCTCGAGCTGCCAGCCTGGATATAGGCAGCGAAGGCTATAGAGCATATCGCTGAAGTGATGGGAATGGTGAGTAGGGCGACTACCGATTGCAGGATCTGTGCAGCCCTAAGGATCCTCTCGTGTTTAGCCAAGAGACGAGCTACATCTTTAAAGTAGTCTTGATTATCCGTATAGCTTAACTTGCTTCCAATCGGCCGGCTGCTCGCGACACAAAGAACGATCCAGGTAAATAGGGCGAGTGTAGCGTAAAAGATGAAGACCATCAGCGGCCAGAACGAAGTGTGGAGGGTCCTGACGATGGGCTCGCGAACGGTCATGGAAGACGCTCTCGACAGCCTCGACGTGTACATGGGCTCGTGAGTAGTTTCCGGGACCTTTGGTGCACTCGCATTTGCTTGTCTGGTCTCCTCGCTGACGCTGTGCATCTCATGCGACTCCCGTTGCTCCATGTTTGGTGTGATCGATCCGCCGGTAGGGAAGATGGGGAGTCAAGATTCCCGCTGTAAGGGATGTAGCGTAGATTTAATAAAGCATGCGGATGTTATCGTCTGACAGCGCGTAACTTGACTGCGCCGTCTTGGCTCTTGTCTTGGCGTGCAGTTTGTATTGAAGTTGGGGGCTAAGAGCGGGTGTCGGCACGAGGGAATGTGATCCTCCACCATCGTCGCACAGGGGCTCCAGAGGGAGGCATACTTGTACACCAAACGCAGTGCCAAACCCTTGTGAACCTATTCAAAGGCCAGCCCACAGATTAGTCAATGAGACATCATGGCGCAAATTCGAAGAGGGTCGTCCAACGCGTACACTTTTCGCGGCAAGTGCTGGTGTCTTATTTCCACCTCAGCCTTACAGGGCTGACTTCAGGCCTCCCACCACACCGGTAAAGGGTCCAGGCGAGGTTAGACGTCGTATAACCGACATACGACTCATTTCTTCGCGACCACTACTACGCCACGCACAACTCCGGTCCGCCCCCACCAGCCGAACATGGTTTTCGCGACACCAAAGCGACCTAAGCCTAATCCTAACATCTTGAGCCTGTCGTCTTGCTCTTTCAGGAATGCTGCCAGTGGCGCGAACACATGTTCTGAGATGTCGGTGATGGTGATGGCTTCAGGGTTGTATCCTATCTGCTCCAGCCTCTCGCGGTACCCCTGTGGTGTGGTGAAGTTCGCCCAGGGCGCACCCATGAGAGCAGTGAGAAGGCGAAGCGTCATCTTCTGAGCCCATGTAGCGGTAGGAGAGAGACATAGATCAAAGGCCATCCAGTTTGCTTCTAGCTCTGAGTGAGCGTACTCGATGATGGGCCAGCGTGAGGGGGCGAAGTGGTATGCTGTGTCTAGTGCCAACACCCAACGCTCTTCTGTATCGTCCTTCGCAAGCTGCAACTTTGTTTGCAGCTGTTTGTCCCAGGACTTGGGTTTCGACGCGTCGGTACAGAAGAGAGAGATCGTGGGGTTTCCAGTATCTTCCATCTCAGGAGATGCCATCTTCGTCGTATTCTTCCTGAGCTCATCAACTCGCCCCGAGGCGTATCGAGCCTGCACTGCATCTTTCGTCATGCCAATGTAGTGATGGAATGTGGCGCAGCGATCTCTTTCATCCCACCAGTCTTTGTCGCACGCTCGAATAGGTCCCTTGCTCATGAGATAGATGGTTTGGTCCCCGCATCCGAACCCCAGATCCACCAAGGCTCTTCTCCGTGCTGCTGGGCCTTTGTCGCTTGAAAGGCCGGCCTCAGCAAGGATTACGTTCAGCATGTCTCGGCAGGCTTCGCTTAGTGTCGTTGAAGTGGTGGCGTTCTTCCAATACCCCATGTTCATCCACATGGCTGTGGGAAGCTGCAGATGTAGCCGCCCATGTTGCAGCCCGTAAACTGAAGCCTTGTCTTCTTGAGCCCCCCGCGCTCTCATCATCAGCCAGAACAGTAGGGTCACCAGCCCTGCGCCGAGTATTTGCGTAGCAGACATTTGTTTGGCGTGTGGTCGTGATTGGTGCGACGCAGAATCGGGTGCTTGTGAGATTTCGCGGGAAGCTTCAACGAGGCAATGACGCTAGCCGTTTCCGTCGAAATGTATGACGAGACGCCATATGATACACACAACAGGAAGTCGCATCCTAGAACCCTCAATCCCGAATACTTTCACTTTCGTTCAAACACTTTGAATCGCCTACATCACTTCTTGAGTCCTGGGATGCTATGGGCATGTTGTCTTGCCCGGGTATCTACTCTATTGGATTACCTGCAAGGCTACGAAAGGACCAAGGGCAAGAGGATGCTCCATGCGTCACAGTCCGAGTCTGAATACGCTTGTCTTCATGAATCATTGATGCCTCCAGGGCACCGCGACGTCGAACGCATCAGCCACTCGCATGGCCGAGACAACGCAGCCTTCCAGGAGGACCATACCGTCCCAACACCAGCCGCCCACGAGCCACACATCGTCCTCGCCATTCCTCCACTGTGGCACTGACTTGTCATCTGTGCCGAAGTTCGAGCGCTTGTCAAATATGGCGTTGACGATGCGCTGGCTCTCCGGGCTGCGAAGAACGCGCGTGAACCGGCTCCGTTGAGCAACGCATTTCTCATCGAGAGGAGTGCATGGGCAAGTGGTTACTACGACGCCACATGGTTGGACATGATGTGATTCGGTCGTGTGCGTACCGGAGGTTGCTGTATTGAGGTGGATGAGCTGCGCGCCTTTCTTATCGACGTGCCTGGCGTCGCTACCGTGGAGGACTGCCCAATCCGTATGAACGACACTTTCTACGACTGCAGTTGGTATGCGCTGCATGTAGTGTTGCAGAGGTCTGAAGATACGGCCGACGACATCTGGGGCGACGGCTAGAATAACCTTGTCAAAGAATTCCGTTTTTTGAGCGTCTGACCCGCCCTGAGACCAGGTTATCCGAACGCCCTTTTCGGAGGGCTCTACCGCTGTTACAGTGGCCTCGAGAGTAACATCGATACCCTTGACCAGGCGGTCTTGTACCCCTCCTACGCCATCTGATACAGTATAGTGTGGTGCGCCGTGGCTCCTCCGCTTGTACTCGATGATATCGCTGGCAGGGAATGCGAGTAGCGACTCGTGTGGACAGGTGGATACGCTCGATAAGAGGGGGAGGAGGTAGTAGGTAACGAAGTAGGTTGGGCAATATGTGCGGTCCAGGTACTGCTGCATAGTCTCGCCTCGTCTAGGTTCGAAGAAGAAACAGCAGAGCGCGAACCACGAGTAGGCAAGCGTCAAATATAGCCATTGCATCAGGTACGAGGTCCTGCTAACTCTGCTCGGTCGGGACGCCATCTGGTGGAGGTTCGATGCATGTGTAAAATACGACGTGTCGCGGCGGCCAGTCGCTAAGGCCTCGGGGCTCGCATCGCGGCATTTCGCGAATTCGAAGAGGAAGGGCTGGGAGTTGTATTCGATGCGCAGGTAGTCGTACAGGGCCTTGAGGTTGTTGTAGTAGCCGCCCGCAAACGCGCGCATGGGCAGGTCCACGCGGGTGGAGGCGTCGGTGGCTGCATCGGGGATGGAGATGGAGGCGGCGTCTAGGGAGAGCGTTTTGCCCTAGAATTACTTTTGTGAGTACAGTCGCGGATAGAGTGGGTGTTAGGCGGCCTACCGACTCGAAGACCCTGACAGCATATCGCTGGCGGACATCGTGGAACAACAGGTTCGCGCTAACCAGTCCTGCCAGGCCAGAGCCTATTATTGCGACCTTCTCGCGTGGCTGCTCCATGCTGAGGTAGTCGTGGACGTCAGCGGTGTGGAGCTATGGTGTTGATATTTAGGGCATGCCGTGCAAATCGTCGCATGTCCTCGGCTGCTGGCCCGCAGCAGTCTCAGAACAGGCATCGTCCGTCTCTACCCAATTTGATAGCAAACATCAATTGGCGACGGCATCGTCCCCGGGGCTAGGCTCAAATGGAGCAAAGTGCATGGAGGAACATGTGCCCGTCGGGAGTCGCGCGTCCTGTCTTGATGTCATCCTTTAGATTGAACGTCTTGATTGGTTGAGGGAATATCGCCGACGCGTCCCTTGCATGCGACATCCAGCAGTGGCCACACGAGATGTAACTCTAGACTCTAGAACATCACTTTCCTGTAGACGTTGTAGATATCGTTTCTTGATTGATCGTGGAAATGGCAGGCACCGACAAGCTTCCTGCGATGCGAGTCGCCGTCATTGGGGCTGGGTACGCCACCCTCTCAACAAAAATCATCACATGCTAACACGGCGGAAGTCCCGGCGGACTGACGACTCTTAAGACACTGCTTGAGGCATCGACACCTGATCGGCCGATAGAGGCTGTTTTGTTCGAGGCGTAGGCATACTCCACTCAGCCCCGATCGGGTTTACCATCACATGACCTAACACCCTCCAGCGAAGACAATATCGGAGGCACATTCCACTACCGTGCTTATGAGAACGCCGAGCTGGTATCTTCAAAGCAATTGACTACCTTCTCCGACCACCGCTTCCCCGTGTCAGCACCAGACCACATTTCGCTTCCACAATATGTCGGCTATTTGCAGGACTACGTGGACAAGTTCGACCTACAGCCGCTCATGAAGATGGGCTGCAGAGTCAACAAGATCGAGCCTATATCGAAGTCGACTGATCGGAAGTGGAAGCACCGTGTCAGATACGTCGACAAGAATAGCGATGGGGAGGAGCGCACTTTCGACTGTTCACACGTCGCTGTCTGTACTGGACTGCATGTCGAGCCCAACATTCCCAATATCCCTGGCATCGAGAATGCCAAAGGAGAAGCTTTCCACTCTTCACAGTACAAGAAGCGAGCACAGCTGACAGGCAAAGATGTGCTCATCATGGGCTGTGGAGAGACTGCCATGGGTACACTATACAAGGACACGGAGACGAGTACACGCTAACGTTTGTAGATATCGCTTACGAAGCCATGAAGGGTGATGCAAATTCAGTCACCATGTGCTTCAGAACGGGTTTCCTTTCTTTCCCCAAAGCGCTTTCGCGTTTCAAGGTGTTCGGCAAGCAATTCAAAGGAGGTCTGCCTATCGACGGTCTCATCACCAATCTCTTCGAGACAGCCTACGTGCATCGCGCGATAGCTGCGAGTCGATTCCGTTGGTTTGTATCGGACTTTGTCATCAAGCGTGTGTTGTGGTTCTTGACTGGCACACAGGCGGGCATGAAGTGAGCTTCTATCTGATTTTAGCGAATGGGCACATGCTGACCCAATACAGTCAACATGTCGGCGCACTGCCACACGACAGACTAGGCAGAGCTTTCGTCTTCCTAAACAAGAGCAGTAAAGCGATGCCATATCTAAACCGGCCCTACAAAGAGAGCCACCCTCTCGCCTTCCTCGGCAACGGCTACGTAGACCCACCCGAAGACGCGCAGTCGAAGAAATGGGTAGACACATGCACATTCCCGGAGCGCATAGACGAGACCGGAAGAGTGATATTTGAGAAGCGCCCCGACCGTAAAGATTGGAGACGCATGAAGGACACGGAAGTGCGACCAAACTGCGTAGTCTACTGCACCGGCTACAAACAGTCCTTCTACTTCCTTGATCCATCATACCCCACAGCAGCCGACGCCACCATCCGCAACATCGTCTCGCCCGCAGATCCTAGCATATCCTTCATCGGCTTTGTACGACCTGGTGTTGGCGCCATCCCTCCCATCGCTGAACAACAGGCCATGTGGTGGACAGCGCTCATCACCAATCAAATGGCCATGCCTACTGATCCTCCGCACTACCATCTCTTGGCCAAAGAGACTTCGCGCATCAAGTACGGAGTTGATCACAGCGCGTACATGAGCACTCTCGCGAAAGACTTTGGTGGCGCTCCCGGGTTGCGCGAACTTTACATGGCGCACGGGTTGAAGGTGCTCCTGGTCTACTGCTTTGGAGCAAGCTTCGTTACGTTCTACAGGCTTGTCGGGCCTTTCAAGAGTGATGTTGCTCCTAGTATCACGAAGACTGAGTTGGCAGAAACTATTCTTCGCAGAGGCATTCTCGGCAATTTGTTCTTCGGGGTAAGTATTGATTGAGCTTAGTTTCGTGGTTTGTGTACTAACGTCTTCGCAGGTGATACCCATGCTTTTCTACGGTTTGATCAACTCCACCGCCTGGATGCTCGAGATGGTTGGTCTTATATCGGAGGAGAAGCCGGTCGTCTAAGTGGCGTAGGGTCCTGGCCACTATTATCGATCTTCTGGGGAGGATTATAGCAGAGTGGATTGACGAATCTGGATCAATGTTGAAACGAATTTGAATGCGTGGCTATCTTCATTATGGTGCCAACCGAGGGTCTCTCTCAAACTAACAAGCTGTGAATATCTAGTACTATCGAACAAAACTCCATCTAAGACGAGTTACTGTTGTCCGCGCACGAGAAAGCCGAGTCAATCGACCCATCCTTGTACGCGTCCATGATCTGGACAATAACGCCGTACGTGCCGCCGATCGTCAGGAAAACCGAAATGCCGATCAAGATAACATGCAGCGCATACATGATCTTCTGCCACCAGTTCCCCTTCCAGTAGCCCTGATGATCGTAAATCCAAAGCCATCCAGGCAGACCCAGCGCCAACGGCGCAAACGCCACACTACCCGCCAGACTAAGCAGATAGTTGAAGATCGGTACGCCGGACGCGATGAGGAAGCTGACAACCGTCATGCCCGTAACGCATCCCAGCCACGTACCCCAATGAACCGGCGAATTCGCCTGAAGATGTTTCGAGTTCCTCAGTATGCGGACGAAGATATACTTCGCACTAACATGCACATACAACGCGCCACTGACACAAAGGCCAATAAGACCAATGCCGTACGCGACTTTCTTCACCATGGGTCCTGCGCTGCCGAGAGAAGGCGACGCAACCCATTTCCCGCACCACTTGTACACGACAAGGCTGAAGGAGAGGTACGCGGCGGTGACAAGGCCCATGCACCAGTTCACTGCTTTACTGAATTCGCGCGGGTTGCGCATCTCGGACATGACGGGTAGGAAGGCGGAAGTGCCGGCGCCGGAACAGAAGATCGTGCTAGCGGCTGTGATGCCTGCGGCGAAGGTCGGGTGGCCGATTACGTGGTAGCCGAATTCGTAGGGCCCGGATTGGGGGGCTGCGGCGGGGCGGTCGAGGGTTGTTACTCCGACGCTGTTGGGATGGGTTAGATATGTGGTTTTGAGGGCTGGAGGATTGGGAAACTTACACGACGATAAACACAGCAACGAAAACAGAAATGAATCCCGCCCACGTAACCCACGCGATCTTCTCAAACTTGCGTACACTCGCACACGTGCCAACCATAATCGCTGCGATGATGGAGAAGTAGTTTGTGCAGAGGGAGTGGTTAGATAGCGCGTTGAGCGCTGTCGATACACCCACTATACCCGATGCCGCGACGATGATAAATGCAACGAGAAAGAGGACACCGGTAATTTCTTTGACGATGCGGCCACCGACTAGCTGGCCCATGTCGGCGATGGAGTGACAGCCTGGATGGTTGTTCCGGAATTGGCCTTGCACGAGAGCGCACCATGTGTTGAGGGCTTGCCAGCCGAGCACGTTGATGGCGCCGGGGAAGGCGCCGAGCGTGTACATTGCGCTGGGGATTGTAAGGACGCCCGTCGCGAAGATGACTATATAGTGATAATCGTCAGCGGAATGTTCGTGAACTGGATGAGAACGTTACTCACGCTTCAAGAAGATGACTGCGGTGTGAACCCAGGACACCGTTCGGAAATCCTCATAGCCCTCCCCTCGCTTGAAGATCTCGCCATCGTTCTCGAGGTCGACCTTCCCGTTGATGCTCTCGGAGCTGGTGCTCTGAGCGGGCGCAATGACATCGTCTTGCTTTTCAGCCGACATGATGGCGATGTCGTCAGGTAGTTGTGCTGTCAACCCAGATTGAGTAACGAACAGTTGTTCAACACTTCAACTATCGGTACTTGGGTCACTGCATATATATCCGTTCATGTACGCATGCCACGCAACGGCCCTATCCTTGCCAGATGCAGGTGCCCTGGTAGAACGTTGATAACCCGCGTGGTAATCAGCACGCCAACGCGGTATCTCTCAGAATCCGGGGCAGGAGTGGATCTTGCCAGCCCGCTCTGCCCCGTTGTTTTGGAGGTTGATAGTGGCGAGAGAGCGGTGCGGGCGTCTCCATCGGCTACGCGATTCAGGCGCAGGGGTGCCTCCAATGGTTACCCCGGTTGGAGGGAAGGGTCGCCTGGGGATCATCGTTACTCCAACTGATTGCGGAGATGAGCAGCGGAGGGCTTGGTGCGGCGCGTGGATGCTGCATAGCTTGGGAGCTGGGAGGGGGTTGGAGGCGGTGGATATGCCCGATTGCTGGGGGTGTTGCTAGCGTTCACCCTGCAGTGGCTCGTTTGGCAGTTGCCGGTGGCTGCGTATCACGGCGGTTCCTGCGCGGGGCTGGCTTCTAGAACGGCGTTCATGCGGAGCTAGGTGACGCATGTTCGTGATCTGACTACTTTGTAGATGCCACGGACTAGTGGTGATGTTGTCTCTGGCGTGCTAGTGACAGCTAGCTCGTAGTTCGCATTAGGCACTGCTGCGTTGCGTCTTCGCTACCATCTGCAATGGAGGATCTGCGGAAAAAGCAAAGTCGGAAAATAAAAAATGACATCAAATTGTTTAGTTAATCGGGGACTCCTTCAACTTGAGTCCCGCTTCAGATGGCATGAGCGCTCCTTCGGGCGGCGGGTTCTTCTTTCTGAACTCATCCGCCATCTCCTCCATCGTCACAAACTCAACGCCTTCATGCTTCTTGAAGTGCTCGATCAACCTCTCGTGCATCAGCAGGAGATGTGGTCGTCCAGATACATCAGGGTGGATTGTGATGGGCTGCAGGAGTGTTAGACGAGTCCTTCAGGCAGTTCGGGATACTTACAAAGATGAACTCGTCGTATTCGCGGTAGAAGTAGTCGAAATGGTCCCTCCATAGGTCCTCGGTATCTCGTGCATTCACGAAGCCATGGCTGTTCTTCGAAGCCTTGATGAACATGTGCGGTGGCAAGTCCTAACATCCAGTGTGAGCGATGCATCAGGGCGTACTAAGTTGTACTTACATCCAGATACCAGTTTGCTGGGATTTCGACTAGGCCAGTCTGTTGACCTGCAACGAGTGGCTTCATCCAGTCCTTGGCCTTCTTCTTATAGTCAATCTTGGTCCAGGTATCTCCGGTTCTCAGATAGTAAGGTTGACAGTCGTGGTGGCTCATGCTGTGATCGTACTCAATGCCGTACGATAGCAGCAGTTCGGCACCTTCGCGGCTTGTTTCCCACCTACCGAGATGGTCAGCGTACTGTATGCAGCAGCGGTTCTTGGAACATTACCATGGCGCAACGCTTCCTCGGGGAGGCTTGCCAGCAAATTCAGTCAACATGCGATATGTTTTGTCTAGCACGTGGTGTTGCTGTTCCATGCTCATATCGGAGGGGTTCTCGTGACTGTAACCGTGGAGGCCTATTTCGTGTCCTGCATCGCGTACTGCTGCCATGTCTTCCGGGAATGTCTCCAGACTATGACCTGGAATGAACCATGTGGTCTTGATGTTGTACTTCTTGAACATCTTCAAGAGGCGCTGCGTACCAACCGTGCCAGCGAACAGACCACGCGATATGTCGCTGGTGCTGTCTTCTCCGCCATACGACCCAAGCCATCCACATACCGCATCTACATCAACACCGTACGAGATGAGAACGCGCTTCTTGCCCATGATGGCTGTGTTGTATGAGAGATGATGGGTTGATGAGGTTGTCAATTGGATCAAACGAAGAGCTATCAGTCGGACAAATTCGTGTGGGAACAGTCAGACCAAACTACCCACACGGGACTACTTCCTCTTAATGCCATGATGCCGAACCTGAGAGCTATGGCGGGGTAAGTGGGATGGAATGATGCTGGACCGACGGCGCGCTTGTCTATTTCGTCATGGGATGCGCCAGCTGCCAGCTGCCCCTGCCTCCGCAGCTGCCCCTCGCTTGGCCTTATCGTCGACCCCAACCACCTCCAAATCTTGTCTCCAACAACATCCGAAAACGGTCCTACGCTCTCCAAGACGCGTTCGCATGAAGTTACGATGACGATAACCAGGGTATTGGGTGTAATAACGCGGCGCGCACCTTTGAGTACATTCATGGTCAATCATGAACATGCCTGATAAGATGCGCGCCGCACAGATAGTAGAGGTATGATGACGTCATGAAACACATCGAATCGTATCTAACAAACTGCATCAGTATGAGAAACCGTATCAGCTATGTGAGCGAGCTGTACCTCAATGCGGAGACAATGATCTCCTGGTCGAAGTTTACGCAGCCGGCTTCTGTCACTCGGACCTTCAGGTTTGGAATGGTCAATTTCCGGCGGCCCTTCCGATGATACCATCGCACGAGCCGGCTGGAAAGATTGTACAGATTGGCGCGCAAGTGCAAGGCTCATGGAAAGTCGGAGATCGCGTTGGTGTTCTCAACTACAAGAATGCTTGTGGACAATGCGCAGGATGTCGACAGCATGGAAGACGAGCGAAACGTCCTGATCCTCGCTTCTGTCTGAACAGGATTGTAGCTGGTTTCAAACACGACGGCGCATTCGCAGACTACATGCTGGCCGATCCAAACACCACTGTGCCTCTTCCGGACAGAGTTTCCTTCGAACAGGGAGCGCCTTTGATGTGCGCTGGCGTAGGTCCACCTTTTGTCGAGATCGTTTGAGACTTCATTGCTAATAGCATGAAAGGCGACAGTATGGGGCGCATTGCGAAAGCTTAGTCCCCAGGTTCAACCAGGCGATGCCGTGGCCATTTTAGGTATTGGGGGTCTGGGTCAGCTTGGAATACAATTCGCCAAAGCCCTTGGTTACCGGACGATGGCCATGGACAACCGTGAACAAGGCCGTCAGCTTGCGCTCGACTTGCCCGACCACTTGAGACCTGATCTAGTCATGGACTCAAGCGCTAAGAATGCCGGAGAGAAGATACTAGAGTTTACTTCAGGCGAAGGTCTTGCGGGCATCGTAGTATGCACAGATTCTATACCAGCCAACGCGTGGTGTCTTCAGCAACTGGGCAACGGCGGTGTTATGGTCCCGCTGGGTTTACCAAAAGACAGTTGGAACTTCGACTCGGAAGCTATGGTATTCCATGAGCTTACCATAAAAGGCAGCTATGTCGCTAGTGCGGAGGAAGTTGAGTCCATGCTCAAGGTCGTGGCCAAGCACGGCATCTCGTCTCATTTGACCGTTTTGAGCTTTACGGAGATACCCAGCCTCATACAAAGATACCAGCATGCATCTATGAAAGGCCGACTAGTAATCAATATGAAAGGATAAGCCTCCGTTCGGCCGGGGATCAGCTTGTTCTTACGAGCAGACTTGGAATCTTACGTGTCTTTTACGTGTCTTTTGGACTTTGGTCTGACATTATGAAACTTAGCAATGCAGACCCTCTAAAACGCGAGGTTCTGGGTACTTTCTGGTACGTTATCGAATCGAGTTCGCCACGAGTTGGGGTCATTTGGAGAGCCTCAGGCGTGATTTCTTAGTTTGTTTTGTGGGACCGTCGACCCACTTGCTCACCATTGGTCAAACGGTACGTAAGGACATCCCATCTACCTGAATATGGTCAAAGTCTTGCGGCAGAGTATACCGTTCAACAAATTCTTATATTGACTTTAGCTATCGTAGTATCCAATTCACACAGCCGCACCCACGTAACCATCATGTCTGTCTTTTTCGACTCGCCTCTAAGGTCAGTACCAACTACTTTACTATTCAAATGGGGAGTGTGCGCATATTGACGGTATTGCAGTGAGGATCTTGTACGGGTTGGGGACGCAGAATCAGTACTACAAAGCATTGGCATCAGTAATGGCATTCCATCACACGAGTCTCGGGACTACCACCAATTGCTAGCGGCGGTCCACGATGTGGCAGAGCATGTACTCCAACTTCCCGACTATACAGCACCTACCGATACCGAAAGATATCCGCGAGGACGAATTCACCGACCATCAGCAGAAGAGCAAGATTTCGGCAATGCTTGGGCCCATAAGTTCCAAATACGTGGCAACTCACAAGGACACCTCCTCCAAGGAAAGACTGTATGTCTCAAAGACAACATTGCAGTGGCCGGAGTACCGCAGTTCTTCGGAACAGACGCCATCCCTGCATGGACACCCGATTCCGACGCCACAGTAGTTACCCGCACATTAGATGCTGGTGCTGACATCGTGGGAACGACCATATGCGAAAACTTCTGCAACTCCACATCGTCATTCACTTCAGCGCAAGGTACCGTTCACAACCCGTATGCGAGAGGGTACTCCGCTGGTGGCAGTACGTCTGGTGGCTGTGCAGTAGTCGGTGGCGGTTTGGTAGATATCGCAATCGGTGCCGATCAAGGCGGCAGTATTCGTGTCCCATCGTCATTCTGTGGTTGTAAGTATACAATGACTGTTGCGTATCACCTCATGATGTAGTGCGAAGCTGACGATCTACGCCAGGTGTTGGACTAAAACCAACGCATGGCCTTGTTCCCTACACTGGTATATCCAGTGGCGACGCTGTTAGTGATCATGCTGGGCCCATAGCAAGATCAGTACGCGACGTAGCTTTATGTCTCGATGCCATCGGCGGAAGGGATGACTATGATGATCGTACACTTGGTGCACCAATTCATGGGTCAAAGCATTACGCAGGACGTCTTCAGAGCTCGGTCGCAGGAATGAATATTGGCGTTCTTAAAGAAGGCTTTGAGCACCGTCTCGTGAACCAAGACGTCAAATCAACCGTGAGAAAAGCCGTTCAGTCCTTTGAAGAACTAGGTGCTACCGTCGAAGAGGTCTCATTACCCCTTCACCTAGAAGGGCCAGCTATTTGGACCATCCAACAGCGAATCGCAGGTACCTTCAGCATGTTGGGGTACGCGCATGGTCGGAGAGGACTATTCTCAACAGCCTACGAAGCGGCGCGACAACCATGGACGAACGAAACATTCCAAAAGCTCTTTCCATCTACGAAGAACACTATGATCAACGGCCTCTCGCTGATGCAGAATTACCCGGGCCTCTACGCGAAAACCATGAATGTGGCCCAACAGCTCCGCGACGCGTATGAGAAGCTGTTCGAGGAGTACGATCTTATCGTCATGCCGACAACGCCATTTGTAGCACCGCCTAACATAGACTGGAAGCGCGGGGAGGATGCGCCGATAGACGCGCTGAAGCCAAGCATGGGCATCACCATCAACACCGCCATTTTCGATGTAACGGGGCATCCGGCCATGTCACTTCCCGTAGGCTTTGCTCCTTCGGGTGTTGATTCTGAGGTCAGCTTGCCGGTTGGTATGCAGTTGGTCAGTGGCCTTTGGCAGGAACAAAAAATACTAGATGCGGCTTTTGCCTGGGAGTCGTCAAACGACTGGAAACAAATAGGTGTGCGCCAAGACCAAGAGTCGAAGCATGCCACGAAGCTGTAGAATATGTCGTTATTACAAATATCCGAAAATTGGCTTCGCTATTTCAAGCAATATGCTTCGTCACTGCGACATCTTTCTGATCAATTTATCGTGTAGCCGCCATCAACAACCAGTGCATGCCCTTGGATAAACGATGATTGTGCTGAACACAAGAACAGCACTGCGTCAGCGACTTCCTCTGGCGTGCCCATTCTCTTCATAGGCGCTATCTCAATAGCAGGCTTCAAAGCTTCCACCATAGCTGGCGACGTCGTAGTCATGGGTGTCTCGATAACGCCAGGACAAACACAGTTCACGCGTATGCCATCATCGGAGTAATCGATAGCGTTTGCGCGTGTCATATTGATGATAGCACCCTTTGAAGCGCAGTATGCCGCTGTGCAATACTCATTAGCAGATATTTCGCATTTTACGAAACGGTCAACGTACCAGCACCGGGCCTCGCTACAATGCCGAGCTGACTAGCGATATTGACAATAGAGCCTCTCTGCTTGGGATGCTGATCAAGAGGCTGCTGCTTCAACATGTTCCTCAGCTGCGCACGGCAACTAAGCCATGACCCCTTATAGTTGATAGCATTGAGTCGATCAAAATGTTCGGTCGTCATCTCTACAGCTTTGATGACATCGCCTCCGAGCACACCAGCACAGTTGACCCCATAGTCAAGCCTCTTGAACTTGGAAAAGGTCTCATCGTTGAATGAGTTGACGAACGTCTCATCCGCGATGTCGCCAGCTCGCTGGAAGACCTGAGCGGAAGGATTAATGCGCAGGATAGCGTCCCTGGTCTGGTCGAGCGTCTTCGGGTTGATGTCGGTGATGGCGATTCGCGAACAGCCTGAACGGGCGAACCCCTTCGCTACGGCCGCACCAATGCCTGATCATCATGAGCATGGCAATTCAACGTCGCATAAGATAGCCACCTACCAGTTCCTCCAGCGCCTGTGATGACGGCTACACCTGGGAGCAATCTTGCAAGCGATGCCATACTGCTATCATGTGGCGGTGAAAGCGTGATCTACCGAGATACGCGCTCACTGATTGATTTGATGCACGCATGAATGCACTCAAGATTGGTTAAGGGATAGCTTACCGACACGACGTTCTACCGGCGATACGTTCGGCGGCCATCCCGTCGAGTTCCGCTATCTTGGAGTAAGCGTTCCACCTACTCCGAAGATACGCCTTGCGCTAACCACGGCGCTATTTACCCCGCAGACATAATTGGCCGAGGGCAAAACCTTGAAGTAAAGACCAAGACCCACCTCGCTCCAATTCACCTCCAACTCCAACAATTCTCACACCACATGCACGGACTCGCTCACGTTTGTACCCATTGCTCCAGAAGCTTCAAGCGAGCAGAGCATCTGATTCGCCATACTCGTACACGTTCGTGCCCTCAACTAAGTGACTCCACGATGAAGGCGTCGTCAGAACTGATGTCAGCATAGATACTAGAGAGAAGCCGTACTCGTGTCGATGCGGACAAGCGTTCACACGGCGTGACCTGCTTACTAGACATTGGCGCATCACGCACCATGCTGGAAACCCTGATGCAGAGTCGACGACGTCGACTGAAACAGCGACGACAATAGACGCACCCGCTTTGAACGTCCCCAGCGCTGGGGCCGTCGAAGCGCATCTCGTCCCGCAGGTCCACGCAAGCCAGCTTGATTTGCAACATCCTCCGCCCACCTACCAAGAACTCCAGCCGGCGCCGCCATATCGCGACGAAGGCTTTGAAGATTTCCGTGACTTTGTGAACTTCATCGATGGTGTTGGGCTATCCGCTCAATGGACGCCTGAGTACGACTTTGACTGGATGCGACTAGGAGAACCTCGTCAGGAGTCTCGGCGGCACTCCCAAGAACCAGCAAATCAGCCTTCCTCCCCAGGTGCAGAGGACATCGGCACGCCTTTCAGCACGTGGCTACCATCAGCTCCAGCTGACGATGAGGTCCATTTGCGATCGAATGCGCAGGATGGCGAAAAGAGAACGAGGAACGGGACGTACAATGTAACGGATGAGCACCGAAACTTCCTGGTATCCCTACTTGAGAGCTTTGCTCCTCCCATCGCCGACTTCCAGATTCCTTCCCGACATACCCTTACCAGGTATATTACCGCGTTCTTTGGCGGTTTTCATTCGCACTTCCCGTTCATACATGCGCCAACTTACAAACCGTCATGTTCGCCTCTGGAGTTGACTCTGGCCATGTGTGCAGCTGGTGCACAGTATTGCTTCGAGCGAAGAAGCTCAGAACGTCTCTTTCGCGTATCGAAAGCCATTGTCTTCGAACGCCTACGACAGGAAGAGTCGCATTTCGGGCCACAAACTCTTTCCTTCATCGCTTCTACGAACATATGCTCGCCAGAAGCGCATTTCATTAGCAGACGCACAGGACCATGGTCGCCTTTGGACATGGCGAAGACCCTACTGATCCTGGTAGGGTTTGCGACATGGGAAAGGAAAGACCTACTTCAGCAAGCGTTCGCACTTCGAGGCCTTCTAGTGCAGTCGCTTCGAGATATAGGTCTCAAAGAAGAGGAACCGCCCAGGAATATATCGACCTCTAGAGCAGCAATGTGGGATAATTGGGTACAGCGCGAGTCATCCAGACGTACAAAGCTCGTGGCCTTTTGTTACATCAACGTGCATAGTATTGCATACAACATCCATCCTCTGCTTTGGAGCAGCGAACTTCATCTGCGACTCCCTTGCTGTACACCGGATTGGCAGGCTAGTAGTGCCGCACAGTGGGCTGCGCTACAACGCGACGGACGCGAGGATCACATGCCCTTTCAGCAAGCGTTGTCGATACTTTTGCAGGGAACGACAAATGAAGGTAAGCTACTTTGTTGGAAGAGTCGTTGAACGTGCGTTAACATATTCCAGAACTAGTACACCCCATACCCAGCCCGATTGGCAACTACATCCTTCTCCATGCACTGCTTCAACGGATCCATGTAGTCAGAGAGCTTTCCTTCCCCGCCACATCACCTGCAACAATCTCAGCTGCAGAGCTGCAAGTCATTGGCCGCGCACTCCGCGCATGGACGTCTCTCTGGCAACAGACCCCAGAATCAATGCTCGACCCCAACAACGAGAGCGGGCCTATCCCTTTCACATCCAGCGCTCTGTTGGTGGTAGCTTACGTGCGGCTTTCGCTCGACATAGGACCATACCGCCATCTAGAGTCGCGCGACACCGACGTCATAGCCAACGGCCTAGCAAACCTCCCAGACATTGAGCGCAACGACAATATACTATCAGCCCTGTTGTACTCAACCCATGCGCTCAGTATACCCGTCAGATTAGGTATCGACAGGGTTGCGCGCAGCCAGGCGTTCTTCTGGAGCGTTCAGCATGCCATATCGAGCTTCGAGTGCGCAATCTTCCTTGGTAAATGGCTGTGCTCTATTCCTCGTCCATTCCGCGAAGAGTCGCTGTCGCGATCTGAGCATCGAATCCTTCACTGGGTGAGATGTATCATCAAAGAAGCGTATGCGGTGATTGACTTCGAGGATGCTGAAGAGACTGATGGTTTCTTGACTGTACCCAGCGAGCCGTTTGCACTTGGTCTAGCTGTGCTGAATATTTGGTCAAGGTTCTTTCGCGGTAACACGCAGTGGCAGTTTGTTGTGAATCTCGGGTTGAGCTTAGAGAAATACATCGCCAAGCTGGCTTGAACTATATATCTGTTCGAAACCCACAGCCCATCATACCTTATCATTGTGCATCTTCTCATCATGAGCCTTGACAGTATCCATAACCTCACCATCCCCATCAGCAAAAGCCCTATCCCCGAATGCAATCGCAATCTCCTCAAGCGAATGATTCGCCGTCTCAACATAGTAGAAGTGCGCCAGGCCCGCGGAGAAGAGACAGAACCCTGCGATGACAAGGTAAAAGTACCCACCGATTCCCGCAAAAGCGTCCGGTGAAACCATGCCGATGATGAAGTTGAAGACCCAGTTTGACGTCGTCGCAAGCGCCATGCCCTTACTGCGGCTGCGGAGCGGGAAGATCTCCGCAGGTAACAACCATGGCATTGGACCCCAGGTGAAACCGTAGACAATGTTGTAGAGCATGATGAAAGCGAACTGGCCGTTTGCGCGTGTCATGATGGGCATGGAAGCTTCTGTGAAGGCGCAGACGATGCCGAGAAGAGCGGCCATGAGGACACCGCCAAGGATGAGAAGCGGCTTGCGGCCCCAGCGGTCGGCTAGCCACCAGGTTGCGACAGTGGCAGCGGTGTAAGGGAGTGCATTTGCGGCGGTGTAGAGCAGGGATTTCTCGTCTGAGAAGCCGGCGCTGGAGAGGGTGGAGGGGAGGTAGAAGGATATGATGTTTATGCCGTTGAGCTGAGCGAACATTTGCACTGTGACGCCGACGATTGTGCGTTTGCGGTAACGGGTGAACATTTCCATCCAGCCAGCCTTTCCGAGTTCAGCTTCGTAAACGACGGCCTCTTGGATCTCGAGGAAGACCTTTCGCACATGCGGTGCGTCGGTATCGCCGCTCGAGTGGAGATCTGCCACTGTCTGGAGGCTTTCTTGCATGAAACCGTTGTTTGCGAGCCATCTTGGAGTCTCCGGCAGGAAGAATGACATGACCACCAAGATGAACGAGAGGATAATCTGGATGATAAACGGCCCCTGCCAAGATAGCGCGTCTGGAAGCATGAAGTGGAAGCCATAGTCAACCCAGCAGGACAACATATACCCTGCGATCAGGCATGTGTATTCGATGCCGACCATGAGACCTCGAGCATGCGGTGCCGCGATCTCAGTCTGGATGATAGGAACTGTCATGGATAGGAAGCCAACTCCGAAGCCTTGGATCGTACGTCCAATGACGAAAGTTGCGAAACCTGGGGCGAAGATCTGGATAAAGGCGGAGAGGAAATAGATCAAGCCACCGAGGCGGACGGTGCGCTTGCGACCGATCATGTCTCCGAGACGTCCGGCGATGAGAGCACCGACAGCGGCAGAGGCTTGTAGGCAAGCAACGGAGATTCCTGTGATGGATGGATTCACGGCTGCTGTGCTACCATCTGCGCCGCCGTACTCGCTGAAGAAACGCCTGACGAATACTGGGTTAACCAGTAGGCCAGACATGATACCTAGCGGAATCAGTATTGTTGATCAACATGCAAGTACCCGGACACACCTGAGTTGTAACCAAACAAGGCATCACCAAGACTACCAAAGCCACATGTTGCAAACAACAACGTCTTGCCCTTGATAGGATACCTGGCCGTGATCTTCTTCGGCTTTAGCTTGCTTTCAAGCCATCCTTGTTCGGCAGCGACCTGTCCAGCTATCTGCGAGGCACGTTGCTGGATGTTGGCGCTCTGACTGGCGACTGAGTTACTACGGGCAGCCATATTCTCAACCAGTGTAGAACAAGAAAGGAGTAGAGAAGGAATGCGTTTTATGGAGCACACGGAGGAGATGCGGTGGGATGATGGAGAAATCTGGGGAAGCCTGGCAGCTTTATCGTCCCCAGATTTTCGCAGTGGAGCGCATTCGGCATCATCGCGTGTAGTCAGGTCATATTACGGTTCCGGTCCTAACGTTGGCCCTGCAGCGACGAAATTTGGTCGGCATATGCTAGTGTGTTTCTCGAGAAGTTGATCAACGCTGTAGCGCTAAGGGATGCTTTGCCAGCCAATCAGAAGCGCTCTTCTCAAAAGCCGCGGAACCGGTGCTGGGGCAGAAAACTCCGGGCTGGCGGCTCCGACTCGTGAACATCGGAAGGTCAGCAGCCTGCATGAGCCGCCGGAACCGTGCTGCTCTCGCTCTCGCACTCGGGCAAGAATGCCTGGCCGGTAATATAGTCAGAGCATCAGGATGGACACATCAATTCTAATCATTGCCGTACATTGTGTTTCGCAGTAATGGTTTCTCCAGCTGATATTCGCGAAGCAAAGAACTCCGGGTCTTTGACGCTGCCAGAGGACCAATGCAAAGCACCGATCAACACGTCCTTCGTCCTGAGCCCATCGAGGCAGTTCTCATACGAGGATGGACCAGTTCCGAGTCTTCCAACTCCTAGGCATGTTCGCGTAAGGATTGTGGCTACCGGTCTTTGTGGTTCTGACGTACGTATCGCCCGCTGTGGTCTGTAGTGTGTTCATCAACGTTGACGGCGATCTAGGTACATTACTGGCAATTTGGGCGCATAGGCAGATATGTAGTCGAAAGCCCAATCACCCTCGGTCACGAGTCTGCTGGTATTGTCGATGCCTGCGGATCAGATGTCAAAGGGCTGTCCGTGGGCGATCGCGTCGCATTGGAACCTGGCGTAGGATGCAACACCTGCGAGACATGTCGCAGCGGCCGATATAACCTATGCGAATCGATGCAGTTCGCTGCTACCCCTCCCTACAATGGCACGTTATCGACCTTCTACTGCCTACCCGAAGAGTGCTGCTACAAGCTGCCGTCACACATATCCTTCCGTGAAGGTGCCCTCGTGGAGCCGCTAAGCATAGCTGTGCATTGTTGCGGACTCGCCGGAAGTCTTCAGGGCAGATCTGTGGCGGTATTCGGGGCCGGGCCCATAGGCTTGCTGTGTTGCGCTGTGGCACAGGCTTTCGGCGCTGCGAAAGTCGTGGTTATTGACGCAGTGGCCCCCAGGCTGAGCTTTGCGACCGACTTCGGTGCCGACGACGTATACATGATGGAAGCTGGGTTTCCAGAAACGAATGCTCAGCAAGTTTTGAAGAAGGCTGGCCTGGATGCAGGGTTTGATGTTGTGATCGATGCAACAGGAGCAGAGCCATGCATCAACTGTGGTGTAGCTGCATTGAAACGCGGTGGAGTCTTCGTTCAAGCTGGGCTGGGCTCTCCCAAGATCGCATTTCCAATCGGCCAGATTTGCGACAAAGAAGCTACGCTCAAAGGAAGCTTTCGATACGGGCCAGGAGACTACAAGCTTGCCATTCAGCTACTAGAGTCCAATCGTGTTCAACTAGATAGTCTTATTACTCATGAGTTCGCGTTCCCAGATGCGGAACAGGCTTTTCAGAATGTTGCGGATAGAGTCGGCATCAAGTCGCTCATATATGGACCAGGCATCGACAGGGCGTTCGCAGAGGGTCGCACCGAGCAGCACACGCGTGTGTCTGATCTCCCGAGGCTCTAGTGTATGATGCGCTGAACACATATCGCAATCACGAAATTGCTGGAACTGAGACGCGTGCCCACCGAAGAGTGTTTGTGATGCGACAGCTAGAATTGTGGCTCGTTCCAGACGGAATCCCAGAACCAGTATAGGCCATTGCCAGTAACATCAACACCGTTATCATCGCTGATCCAGTCCAGCTCGCCTTCGAGGTTCAAGTCTCCGGTGCTAGCATTTGTCCAATCATTGTGTTCGCTAGGCAGGTGATTCATGCCACCGTCGTTCGTGACCCATTGCGGGACATAAGCTGTGTCGTCACGGGAGACGTTGTCGAGGGGGGCGGGAAACACTGTGAAAAGTAGGTGATTAGATTCGTACGCAGCTTCGGGGATGCATCAGTCTTACCTCTCTGTACTGACGCCATGCTCTCGTGAACGCGCTGCATGCTGTCAACTGTACTCTGTTGCTGTCTGTTGTGTCCACTCGCTGGCAGTTGCGTCGGCAGACGAAGGGTATCTTCGACAGACATCTGCGCAGTCCCGGTATGCGATCTTGTCATATCACTCTCGCCAAAGATCGCATCTGCTTCTCTGCGCAGTAGCATCTGGATGACGTCTTTGAGGACCGCATTACTCTGCATCGAGAGCTGTGTCCTTTTGCCGAGTAGCTCTTGCAAGCGAAAGATGCGTGTGATGGTCCTTTTCACTTCCTGTGCTCTGTCCGAGAGTGGATCAGACAGCGCCAACACAGCCATGACGATGGCGGAGTTGAACAGATTGATAGCCAAGAAAGCTACCAGGTGGCTATCAGTGGCTAGTTGAGAAAGCCGTGGTAATTCAGTCACCTTCGATGTTCTCAACGCGGCGTCCCACCATTGCTCCGTGCTCGACATATGGCTTCTGTTGAGCGGGCTGGACTCATGAACCGCATGAAATGAGGATTCGGTGTTCGTAAGGCTTGCTGGAGATAGTGCGTTACCATGCCCGCTTTCCGGTTGCGTCCTGATTAGGTGGTCCACTTGTTTTGCGATTAACGGGCGATTGAAGATGATAAGGAGGTTGTCAAATGTAAGCTGAAGGGACAACGCCTGCAGCTGGTGCACCCGTGCGGTGCGTGATTGATCCATACTGCAGTCGGAGGCCATGTCGAGTAGAAGATGAGGCGGCAGACGTCGGCGCCACGCCCAAAGCTTCTCCGTCACGTCCGTGATCTGATCAGTGTATTGTGGTCCGCTCGGCCGTTCGTTGGGTCCCACCGCCCGCATCCCGAAGATGGTCTCGATGATGGGTGACGCGATCAGGTAGAGTTTGTTGAGCTCTCGTTGGTAGGACGAGTAACATATTGTTAAGTCGGCGTCTGGGGGGTTCGTTCTCCTGAAGTAGGGCGACTCGCATACGTCAATCGGATGGTGTGTATTGCAGTCCTTCTCGTTGATGCCGATGGGTCGTCCGTACGTAATGGAAGCGAACCTGGTCAAGTTAGCTAATGATGCTACAGTATACGAGGAGGCTCAGACTCTGTACTGAGGTCCTTCGCATCTTCAAGGAGGGGCGCATTA